TTTTTTTTTTGACAAAAACAAATAATTATATTATCATTTTAATGCCTTATAAATTAAACTTTATTTAAAATATTCATTTTGAGATATTTTAACATGACTCGATATAGTTTAACAAGCTCAACACAAATATTAATAAAAACAAAAAACATCTTATCCTCTTTTGAATGCATCATATAGAGAAAATCAGTTAACTTAATATAAATCTTATATACGTATGTTGCACACGATAGTATACTAAATTTCAAATCAGATTAGTTAATCAACTCATTATTCATGTTAATATATGTCGATGTGACATACAATAGATGAATATTATCTTTTCGATCTCTATCAATAGACAGAATTCAAGATCAATTTTATTTATTAATAATTTATCATATTTTTTCTTAATCTTTCTACTTTCCTCAAATTTTTCTATTGAAAAAATAATTCATTTGAGACAAATTCAAATTTTCATGATTTTAATGTAATTCAAACAATTTTATTTTCAGATTATAATTTATATGTTTATCAAAAAGTAAATATGATTGTTTTCTGTTTTAACTACTATTTATAAAGTCACAATAATCTTGATGAATTCATTCTATTTTAACCCTTTACTCCACCATTGACAACTGGAATTGACATTTTTAGAAAGACTGCAAAAAATGCAGAATGCGTCATATCAGAAAACTCTTTACACACTGTGTGCAGAAGGTTTTCTAAGCTACCGATTGACTAAACAAAATATTTTGTATCCTTGCTCTGTCTCTAAGATATACAACTTACAAAAGGGTCGTTTATAAGATTATTAAAAAAAGAACCTTGCCTTTTTAGATTGGTTTTTTTTATCCACGAGAAATACATATTTTGATGACCTGCTGTGCGATAAATATCGACGAAAGTTGTTGCTATTGAATAAAATGTGTTTATCAATTTTCACACGAATTACCTGAGCAAGAGATTGTATGAGATAAAATGGCAACTGGAATTGTCATTGTGGAGAAGGGTAATGACATGAAAAACAGATTTAGAAATTTTCGTCTAAACGCAATACTTGTTAATATATACGCATAGATAAGTAAATAGATTGCTGTTATTTATAAATACGATCATCATTTGCTGTTATATAATTGTTTGGTGTAAGTGTAGATGGGTGTGGATGTCGGTTTCGGACAAGAAGAGAGCCAAATCACATGCACACCCACACTATCATTCTTTAAAATCTTATCATATTCGAAGTTGAAGAAGAATAAAAAAAAAATTTTATCTTTTGATTGATGATTTAATTACTTCAAGAAAAACAGATTTTATGTACATATAAAAAATTGTTTTAGAAGCACATGTATCGTGGAGAAAAAATGAAAATCTTTTTATGTTTCGGTTTTTTCTTTATTCGTATTGTTGAATTAAAAAAATATATTTTGTATTTTTGCGAAATCAACAACCTACTCGCAAAAGATAGAAAAAAAGTTTTCATGTCGCTACTCTCCAATGGCAACTGGAGTTGCCAATTTGTCGTGCACACAGGAAAGCGTGCATGGTCGATCCGCTTTTATTATTGACCTGCTGGAGAGGACAATATTCTATTTCAATAATTGTTTTATTAGTCAATCTTCTGGAACCGCTATGAGGGATAAAGGGTTAAATAGATTTAAATAACGGTTGATTGTTTTTTAAAGAAAATATTTCTCTTGTAAACCGAACTGTGGCTCATCTTTGTGGAAAATAGTACGTCTTCCAAGCCTTCGGGACAGAAAAGTTGCAATTTTTTGACGAAAATAATACTTTTCGGTGAATAGTGTGACATATAAAACGATTCAATATTTAGTGATGATTTAAAATATAGAATTTGTTTTCTTTCAAACTTTTTTTATTCTGGTCAAAATTGTTCAAATATAAATAAAAAAGTAATATATTCTCGCACATTATGAATATCGTGTGCTTCAATTAGGTGTCTTACTGACAAATTAAACTCATGAAAATAAAACTTTTTTTGTATAACTTTTAAAGAAATATCGAATGAAATCTAACTCAACTAAAAAGACTACTTTCAAAGTTTCATTGACAAAAAATTAGGTCATAGGTATTTATATTTTGTAGATACAAGCAAACGATATCATACAAAGAAAGAAACAACACAATTATAAATAGTTACACTCCTACAAATCATTTTAGATAAAAAAAGAAAGTCATTTTCATTTTATATATTTTAATAATTTTTATAGTTGAAGACGGAAAAGAGAAAATTTTTATGATAAGAGTCTATAGGATAAGACACACATACACATATAATATCATGAAAATATTAAGGTTATTTTAAATAGTAACATCTTAACATGATGATATACAGTAAAGTGAACAAAAATTGCCGTTCTTCATCAGTCCTAGTCGAGAATCCCTTAACGACTTGCCGGTGAGTCCCAGAGAAAAATCCCCGGGAACTCACGACAGGGAGTCCCTGGAGATTTCTAACGGATATACAAACCAGTACATGACATTTATCAGCGATATTATCACTGAGCGACATACCTACCCATCTATCTATCTACCTATCTTTGTATCTATGTTACAAAATACTTATCTTTCAAGGGCTAAAGCTCAGTAATAATATCATTGAGCTTTGTCATGAACTTTGCTGAAGGCAATGCAATATGTTGTACCTCCGCTGACGGTAATTTTTGCAATATTTTGTGTTTGTAGCCATAATAGAAATATCTAAAATGAGCCTAACGAATTATTTTCCCTAATAGTATTGTTGAAAAATGTTAATCTTCAAAAAATATTTTGCATAATGAATTTCGATCGATAACTCGTTCATAATTCTTTGCTGTTTTTCTATTTTCTGGTTCGAAATACAAATTACTTACTTTTAATTCTTTTTTTTATCATGCATTGTTTCAGCAACCAAGTATCTAACTGCCTTGGTCATCAGTCAATACATATAATTTAGTTCAGATTTCAAAATATTTATGCACTTTGAGAACTAAAATCACGGAAAGAAAACTCTCCAGGGAGTCGCCCTCTGTCAGGACTCCCTGAGGAGTGTTTTTTCTTCGCTAATCTATGACTATTAGGGACACCCTAGAGACTCCTTAGGGAATCCCTGGAAAGTCCCTGGGGACTCACCGGAGAGTTCACATATTTCCGGTGACTCACTTGTGACTTTGCAGGTGAGAGTTAACTAGGGATATTATTATACTGCGGGTTATCGATATGCCGCCGAAATCGTCCATCGAACAAAGATCCCCGTACGTACTGTTCGATATAACTTGGTAAAGATTCGAGAGCAATGTACTGTCCAAAGTCAGGTTGGTAATGGCCGATCACGTAAGATAACAACCAGTGACAATATTTCAGTCAGTCAATGGGTTCGAAAAAAGCCACAAAAGAAAGCGTACAGAAACTGAATGATAATAAAGATTTGGATATATCCAGGTGGCCAGTACAACGTCAGCTTCATTGAATAGATTATAAAAGTATTTTATCACGAGCAACTCCAATGTTCATAAAAGAACAGAAAGTGAAACGTGTGCAATGGACGATAAAGCATAAGGATGACGGCAAGAGTTGTATTATGTTCCCTGATGAAACATGCTTTCAAATATTTCAAAATACAATTCGTCGTCGGTTCAAAAATTCAGAAAAAGAATATAAAAGAGTTCCGAAAAACAAGCAAAAGATCAAGATCTGAGAAAATTTTAGTATCAAAGGTCAGATCTCAAGCTATTCATTTAAAACGACTATGGATGGTCCTTACTATGTTGAAATATTTCAAAATCATCTTATTCATGGAACAAGAACACATTATAGGCGGCAATGGCGATTTTCACAAGACAACGACCCTAAACACACAAGCATTATAGCGAAACTATTTTTGAACCAAGAAGAAATTCCTGAAACAAATTGATTGGCCACTCAACAGCCCGAATATTAATTCGATTGAAAATATATAGCCGATTCTCGAATGATATGTTGAGAAAAGGAAATCATCAAATATCGATAAATTAAAAACATTTATTGCACAAAGAATGGCCAAAATTGGATATAAAAGAAGCCTAAATAAGTTGATCGGGTCGATGAAAACTAGATATTTCGATAATATTGTTTTGGATGAAGAAAAAATCAATTATTAATTCTTATAGTTTTCTGGTATAGTATGTACGTAAACTCTATATAAAATATGTTTTTCAGATAGTCGCTATAACCGAATAAAACTTGTGAAAATTTCACGGCAATTTTTGTTGCACATCACTCTATATAATCATTATTATAATCTATAACATCATAACTAATATGATTTATATTGAATTAACAAAACACATAAAATAATCTTAACAATGTTTATAACACTATGAAAAAATTAATTAGATAATTATAAGTAAAAAAAATAATTCATTTTCAAATTAAATATCATTCAAGTTTTATGTTCTACTTCATATAGTATAATCTATTGAATTTTAAAATAAATATATATATTTCGATAATTATGTTATATAATCTATTGAGAAAGATTTTGTATGTAGATGAGTGTTTGCTATATTTATATTCTTTTTCCATAAATAGTTTTAATAGGTTGAAAATGATCTTTAGAAAAACCTAAAATTCCTTTTATATAAAATATTAATTATAGTCAAAGAAAAAAACCTCATCTACATCAATATTCATTCTCAGTAAATGATATAACATAAATATCTCAATATATATATATATATATATATATATATTTAAATGTTTTATTGATAAAATAAATGTTAAATATGTTTGCCAGTTTTGATTTTTTATTTAAATTGATTTATTTATTTAAATTTTTATTTTTATTTTTATTGAATATATTAAGATTTATTTTGTTAATATTTTCATAAATTAGGTTTTTTTTTTGTTTAACTTTTAAATGTTTTTGTTATGTAAACATTAAAACATTTGTTCTTTTTTATTTAAAAAACAAAACTAAAAATATAATTGAATTATTATAAAAAGAAAATAATAATATTTTGTATAAATAATAAATAAATAAATAATTAAAATCTTAAAGATGTTTGAATAAATTGATAATGTTGTGAATAATCATCTTTATTCTGATCTAATAAAATAAATTCTTCATATAAATTGTCATCATTATGAATTTCTTTAATAAATTGATTCCAATTTATTTTATCATATTTATTAATAGAATATATTTGAAAAATCTTATCAATAACTTGAGTTATATGATTTTTTGATGATGGAATATCAAATAAATCAAACATGTTTCTTAAGAATTCTTTTAATTCATCTCTTGACATTGATTTTTTCTTTTCTTTTTCATTATTATATAATGAAAATATTAATTTTAATTTTTCATTTATTGATCCATTATTAGTTAATACATTAAGTAATAAAAATTCTGAAAAATCTAATTTATTATCCTTATTTAAATCAAATACATCAAATAATTGTTTAATTAAAGGTTTTATTTGTAAACTATGTTCATCACGTAATTGTTGATAATATTTAATAAATTGTTGTCGTGATAAATAACCATGTGGATAACAATGAACAAAACGTAAATAGTATTGTTGAATATCTTCAGGAGTTAAATTTGTTTTTAATGATAATATATTTATTTCTTGTTTTGTTAATGGTTCGGGAATTTGAGATCGAAAACAAGCCGATGAACCACCCATTTATATATATCATGGAATTTTTCAATAAGTTAACAATTCTATTCACTTGTTTCTTTTATTTATTGATCAGAGCTTTTATGAAATAACATCGATTTTATCTATTATAATAAAAATATTTGTCACAGTTACTTTTTTATTTGCCTGTGTGTCAGATTTATAATGTTCTTTTCTAAACAAAAAGAAAAAAGAAAAAAAAATAACGAATATAATAATAAACGATTGACGTTTTATGTGACAGATGTTTCTCTATGAAAATAGTCGAAACAAAATCAATGGTTATAAAATCAAAATCGATCATTAACTGTTCGAAAGTTTTCTTAACTAAACAAAACATATATTCAATCATATTGGAATTTTTATTCAAATAATTCAATACTTGTTTTTTCTTTCGTCAAATACAAAATTATTTCATTTATATTTATAACTAATTTCTTATTCTAATTAAATCTCTGCATCATAAACAATTATTTTTTTTGACATAGATTTATTTATCTTATTGTTTATTTTTTTATATCCAAATAATTTTATATTAACCTTTTTTNAGAAACATCTGTCACATAAAACGTCAATCGTTTATTATTATATTCGTTATTTTTTTTTCTCATCTTAATATCGTTCTTTTTATTCTAAATATTTTAAAAAATAGAAAAATAAAATTCATGAAACAAAATTTTTCTTTTTTATTTATAATTCATTGTTTATTTGAAATTTAATCCAATTCTTTTCTTATTAAAAAAACAAATAAATTTTTTCCTCCTTTATTCAAATATGTATCAAAGAAAAAAACTTTTTATATAAATGTTAACTGAAATGAATTTAGTTTTCATTATATTATAATAAATATATTCTATGAATATAATATAATATAAATATAAGATAAATCGATTTTAATAAATAATTAA